CCAGATGTGCCACTGGGTGACATGCCAGATCTTTTACATAATGCCATTCTGCCGGACATGAGACAGCTTGGGGGGGGGGAGGTGTATTTTAATGTCTAGGGTGGGAGTGGGCCTGCCTTTCTCTCTCTCTTTTTTAATTCAGACCTCCCGCCACTACCCATACACCCAATCAGCTCCCCTTACATTCAGCTAAAACCGTGGCTGAGGGCATCCCCGCCACACACAGCTCCGGAAGCTGGAGAGCCTTGTTCCAGGAACTTCTCCATGGCCCGCTTCCACACTCATCATCTTTTCCCTTCCTTGAGTTTGCTCCCTGCCCCCATCCAAACTCGAGGAAGGGCGAATAATTTTTTTTAAAGATATGAAAACACTGGAAGAATCTGAAACAAAAGGAGGGGAGGAGAGAAACCACATTTATTATAATTCGGAAATAACTGGGAGTAATTAGGGAATCCTCCTCCCAATTATTCTCCCCTTCCCTGCGCTAAATGTGCGAGATGAACTGCCCTCACCCCGTCTCCTTCCTCTTCCACACTCCCTCGGAAACTAACAGTACTTCTTCCCAGGGGTGATGCCGGGCCAGTGCCGGCCTCTTCTGGTTGAAGAAGCGTCTCGGTGCGGAGGTGTCCAAACCCCCTGCTGTTTGGAGAGGAATGTTTCCTGGAGCGGGTGGACTGGGTGGGAGCAGAGGGAAATGGGAAAACCACTTCTGACGGAAAGCGGTGCGCGCGAGTAGGAGTGTTTCGGTTCCCACCCTCCGGGCTCCCACCTCGCGAAGGGTGCGGGGGCGTGGGGACGACTCCCAAGCTGGTGCCGGCCTTTCGCTGGACTGCCCGGAACTCCGGGGACTCCCGGGGGCAGGCCTCTGCTCCTCCTCCTCCTCCTCCTCCCCCCCCCCAGGGGCCGCACCCCCCGCACAAACTCGCCCCGCACACACACTCCGGCACCGGGGCCGGCTGGGCGCCGCTCGCGCGCTCCGAGCGCGGCCCTCGTGCGTCGCGGGCCCAGCCGCCAGTCCCGTGCCGGACCCCCGCACCCCCGCCCGCTGCCGAGGCTCCAGATGGCAACTCCTCCGGCTCGGCTCGCGGCCCCCAGACACCGCCCGGCAGCAGCCGGCGGTCGCTGCCTCCCTCCCAGCTGCTGCGGCGAGACGGGGCGCCTGGCAAGCAGGGCGAGCTCCTCTGCAGGCTCGGACTGGTGCGGGAGCCGGGCCTCCGAGGGGTACGCCGGCGTTGTGGGAGCGGGGAAGGAGCCCCGCACGCACCAGGTGAGAAGGCCGCGGGGAGCGCGCGGGGAGGGACGGCCTGACTGCTCCCTTACTGCCCTCACGTCCCCCTCCGACCCCTGCCCTTCCTCCCTTCCCGCACCACCACCGCCACGCCTCCGCGCCTCCGGCAGAGCAACCCTAGATTGAAGGGAGCACCCTCGGGACCGCCGGAAACCGGCGCGCAACCTCCAGGAGGGGGCGCCCCACCTCGCGGAGCGCGGGCTAGAGGGCAGCTGGGCTGGAGCGTCCCGCCCCGCCCACTGGAAGGCTGTCTAGTCCTGAAAGGCGCCCCCTACTGCCGGAGAGCAGTAATGCCCACCAGCTGCAACACCACTTTTCACATTTCTCTCTTCTCAGCACCTCTCCTTTCTCGTTTCCCATTGCTCTCCCCCCCACCCCACCCCACGTCCTTGCTTGCAGGGCTACTTTTCTTTTCCCTGACTCTTTGCATCCTGGAACTTTGCTCTTCTGCCCCTGCCCCTTCAGCCGCTCGCCAAGGGTTTGTCCGCTCTCTGGGGGTGGTGGGGAGGGGAATGCACTTCCTGCTTAGGCTCTGGCTGATCGCTTCAGGTGCCTCCCTGGGTGCCCGAGAAAGCAGTCCAGAGAATGGCAGGCTTGCGGAGGTGAGGTCATCATCTTCCCGGCTGCGGCCCAAGGCTTTTTTGATTTGGTGGTGAGTGGTGCTTTTGGGAGCAGTGCTTCCCCTGAGTGCGGAGTTTTGAATTCCCCTTACTGGATGAATGTATGAAGTTCAGTGGTTTGGTAATGATCCCCTTTCTCCCACACTTGAGGGCATCCTCCCCTTACATATACCCCTTACATATACCCTTAAAAACGCAAAATCCTCCACCCAGGTCAGTTCTCACTGCAGTCCTCCGAAGCGGTCGTGCTGGGGCGGGGTGAGAGGAGGACAAAGCTAAAAGACCACCTCCCCGGGCGCCCTGCGCGCACCTGACGTCTCTCTAATCCCTCAGCGATGGGGGGTGCTCCCACAGACCCTCTGCTGGCCCCCGTGCAGGGCATTAGACCCCCGAGAGCACATTTCGTAAGCTCCCAGCACAAATCCCCTCGGAAACATTAATCAGAACCAACAGTAAATGCAAAATGTGTGTTTATGCCTTGTCTTTCTTTTAATCCAGAACGTAATTCTGGAAAGCAGCAACAGACAGGGGCTCTGTTAATCCCTTACACAAGGAAATGGAAGCTGTGACCTACTAGACTCTTTTCTTGCAATTTCACGAGGAATTAGTCTCACTAGAAGCATGTTCAAAGACAGAAGGAAAACTGTGAGAGAGACTTGGGGCTCGTTAGCCCAATAATGGGGTTCATTTCAATCCAAAGGCGCTCCGGAAGTGGAGTGGATCACTGGCCAGGAGTCCTGAAATTCCGAAGCAGGAGCGGAGTGCGCTTTGGGAGGGCGGGGAGCAGGCGCTTAGTGAGTTAGGAGCCCTAGAGGAAACCCAGTTCTCTCTGCTCCGCAGGCTTCGTATCTAAGTGACCTAATCTGGGGACTGCCCCCTTGCCAGGATTCTAGAGCGGGAGCGACCCACCCGCAAGACACTCTGAGGCCTGTACATAGTACTTGAGATTTTTCTATCATGTCCTTCAATCAATCATATTTCTATTCTCCCATTTTATTCAAAACCATCTTCCAGTTTCCTCATAATCATAATTTGCACCATTGCCTTTTATCTTTGATTAATTAGGAAATCGAGAAAGATAATGAAAGGTCATGCCAATAAATTAGCTTTAGAAACCAACGGACGGATGTCTGGAGCAGCTGTGTGGGTGGGCACTGCCCACGGAGGCTGGCGGGGTGTCGCCTCCTGTGCTGCAGTTTGGGCTAAGTGGAGAGATCCGCTCCAGAACAAACCCAGTGGGGCCGAGACTTTTCACCATCAGAGCCGGAGAGCCTTCTGTGAATTTCAGCTTTTCCTGTTTGAGTCTAGAAAAGGGGAGAGGAGAGATCTTGGGGTAGGGTGAGGGCAAGACTCTGGATCTTTCGAAGAGGCGTGCCTTCTGGCCTAAAAATCCTATGTGGGACAGGTCTGTTTCTTCCGGACATGGGAAGTTAGGTTTACTTTTTTTGCAACCTTTCCTTCCCTCTCCACTAGCCTATCAGTAGGGTAGAAGGAAGGGAGAGGGGGAGAGAGAGAGGAAGAGAAAGAGATTGGGTGATTCTGTTATTCCCATTAGATCAGTTTCTCCCTGGCCAAAGAGGAGGAAGCTTGCAACATGGAGCTGCTCCTGTTGTGGCAGAGGTACTGGCAGGTTCTGGGGTCACCCCCCACCCCAAGCCCCATAGCCATGAAATCGATCATGCCTCCCAGACGGCTGAGAGAGAGCACTTTGCCACTCCTCACAGTTTCGTCCAAGCCTCTTAAGCTTTCAATTGAAAACCAATTAAAGGTTTCTATAAATCTGTTAGCTCTCCTTTTATCTGGAGACCCCTGATGCATGCGATATTGCCCTTTAGATGCCTCTTCCGTGTTTTGTTTTACAATTGTTGTATCAATATAATGCCGTCTTTCTTCCCCTGTCTCTATAGATACAGATACACAAGGAAAGCCAAAGCTATTCAGTCTCCTCGTTTGTCCAGCCGCCGAACAGTGGTGCCCTTTCTCTGCTGCTGCTTTCCCTGCTTCGGGAGCAGCAGTCGTGGTAGAAGCAGATGGCTACTGATTGGGGGAGCTTTGTGGCTGTAATACTGAATACTTTATGGAAAAGGACTTTATCGTGCTCCATTGGGCAGACGAACAAGGGGATGAGATTTATGGCCAGGAAAAAGAAATCTTTTCCAAGCTGTGTCTCCTTCTCACAGTTTCCTCCTTTGCCTGGGGCTCACAGCACTGAGGAATTGGTCTTACTTTTTTTATTATTCTTTCTGCTAACAGTGCTGTTTGGTCAGAGTCTGAGAAGACAGGAGACTAAAAGCCAGAAGTTTATGAAAAACACCTTAGATCAGTGATTCTCAACCAGTAAGCCACAAAATTTTTTAAAACATGCAATATGTGACTATTTAGTCAGGGGCACTGACCTCTTTTCCCTTTGAGTGTCAAATGAAAAAAGTCAACAGCCAATGCAACAATAGCCATTTGGTGTGAATGAATCAAAATTATACCTATTTTTGGTCAGATAGGCAAAAATATAGTTTCCGGTGTGCCACAGAATTTTAGTAATTAGTTTATGAGTGCCATCAGATGAAAAGGGTTGAGAACCATTTCCTTAGATTGCTGTTGCTGTATCAGCATTCTCTGCCCTCAGAAAAAAAGCAGAAGAGTCAGTTGAACACTGTTGGGGGGGGGGCCAGGTTTCCTGGATGTCCTGTTAGTTGTGAGGAAAACACCATCACTCATTATCCTACTGTAGATGGAGAACAAAAGAAAGATGTAAGTGCTCCCATCAGAAAAGTCAGAAGACACCGGTATTGAAGGAGCGAGGCAGTGATGAGGCATGTGCTGTAAATATGCTTACCCACTCTGAAAGGGCCTGAGTTGTAAGGATAATTAAGGATGTCCATTAACGTAACCATGGTTTTTTTCGGACTATAAGACGCACCTTTTCCTCCACCCCCAAAATTTGGGAGAAATAATGGTTGTTAATGCTGCTGTTGAATTGCATATATTTACATCAGTGAAATATTGTGTTATTTATGTTATTAAATATTTTACCACATTTTTTGCTTCAAAAATTTTTTTTCCTATTTCCTCCTCGAAAACCTATGTGTGTCTTATAGTCCAAAAAATATCGTAAGTGTTTGGGCTCCAAACTGAATTTCCAAGCTTTGGGGCACATACAGATTCCACCCCTCCACTGGAGGCCTATTCACCATGTCCGGGGCCATGACATAAAGATACACAGAAATGCTCCGAATATGCCTACTGCTGGCCAAGCACAGAAATGGAAACTAATCCAAGGCTGGGTCTTCCGCTCTACTTCACACTGACTCTTTGTCTCCTCACTATGTGAATATGTGAAGTGTCATTTTTGACAGAAGAAACACTTGTCGAACACCTTCCATATTCTAAGTTCCATTCCTCTGCCTTTCCTATTCTTTTACCTTGTCGCTAGAAATTGAAGAGGGAAGGACAGAAGAGGCATGGAGCTTCCAGAAGTGGAAGCTCTAACTTTCTGCTGCAAGCTACTCTTCCCAGGCCTGTGCACACTGCCACCCCACATATTGGCATGCACCTCTGCACATCCTTTCTCTCTGAAGAAGAGAAAAAATGGAGCACAAAAGGTACAATTTAAAAATTGTATTTACCCAGCATTTCAAAGTGGCAGGCACTAAGATGCTTTAAATAACTATTTTGGCTCTAACTCTCTGCTAGGCTGAATGCACTGCCATACTTACTGTATTTAATTCTTATGACCTTTTGAGTTAAGTATTATTATCCCTAGGTCACAGATCCACTTCCTTCAGAGGAAGCAGAAGTGCAGAGTGGCTGATGAGCCCAAGCAAGCAGTCCAGCAGATATGTGAACCCAGGCTTGTCCTTGCAATGCTCTTAGCCACCGTATGAGGTAAATGTTTTTTTCTGTTTTACAAGTGAGGGAACTAAAACTTCAGACCGGGTTGGTGATTTGCTCCAAGACACACAGCTAGTAGACTGCGGACTTGAGTTCAAACCTGTTTCAGATTCCAAATTGCTTGCTCTCAACCGATTGCCTCTGGGAGCCTTCAGGAGAAAGGTCAATGAGGATCCCACACTTGACCCCCGTCCCAGGTCTCCTGCCTGGGCCAGACATTCCAGGCCTGAGGTGATAGTAAACCGCCTTGCTCCGGGCTTCGGCTGCGGCAACGTGGGGCTCTCCGCTGCAGCACAAGCCGGGGCGCGGGTGTGGTCCGCTGGGCCCACAATGCCCCGCGCAGAGCCGTAGGCGTGCGTCGGAGGCGGGGCTTGGCGGCCGTCGGCAGTGACCGGCCCGGCTCGAAGCCCGGAAGTCCGCGTGGGTGGATGTGGGTTCCCGCGGGGTAGGGCTTGGTCCTGTCCTGCTTCCCGACCCGGGCGTGGGGGGCCGACTGAGGCTGCCCACCCTGATTCCGGGCCTGCCGGCCTCCAAGGGCTGCCGAGCCGCGGTCCCTCGAGGCAGAGGAGGGCCCGCAGCACGCGGAGGCGCCCTCCAGGGCGGACTCCCGCGTCCCCCAGCGCTCTCAGCCCACCCAGGCCTCGGCTCAGTCCTCCTCAGTGGGGCGTTCACGTGCTTCTGGCCCCACAGGCCGCAACGCCTCCGCCCTCGCCGACCTGACTTCCCATTTCCAACGTGGCGCCGCTGCCGGGCCTAACGAACTGCGTTCCAGATCAGGCCGGGGGTAGACGCCCGCTGTGCCAGCCTCCCGGCTGGAAACCACTCGCTCTTCCGTGAAGGGGGAGGGACGAGGCCTTTGGTTGGAACTTGCGGGGGAGCCCTTCCTTAAGCAGGAAACAGGACTCCTGGACACCCTAACGTACTCGTCTCTCCTGCCTTTACCCTCCAGAATCTCCTGACCATCTCCCTAGAAACATCAAGAAATCCTCCACCTTCACGGAAATCCTTGGCCTACCCGTGGCTTTGCACGCGGATGCCCAATACAGTTCCCAAATTTTCTAATGTTTACATTGACATTAGACATTAATTTTCTAATGTCTACACAGCCCAGGCTGTGTAGTAACAGTAATGATAGCCCGTACCGGAATGGGCCTGTGCGGCGCTGTGGTCTGAGCTTGGTAACTCCAACTCAGCCCTCACAGTAACTTTATGGAGAGGGTTTCCTTTATTACCCCGGTTCACACATGGAGGCCTGAGGCACACGGACAGGTTAGCTTCCCTGTGTACCCTCAGGAGTCGGGATTCATTCAAACCCTAGCTGCCTCCTGATGGGAGTTTGCAGCCTGAACCTTAGTCGTTACCCCTTCTCGGTCAGTTCTTCAGACTTACGTTTCTTCACTAAGGTAACTGTGGCCTCTCTGTGATACCCAAGGCCAAAATGAAACTAACCCAGGCTCTTGGAAGTAATCCCCTACCGTCTGCTCAGCAACAGGCTTTCCAAAGTGTGCTCACCACCTCCCACCTTTTTTTTTTTTTCCACCGAGTCCTCACCGAGACCAGGGAGGCAGCTCCCGCCAGCCTAGGTTTACCTGAGGAGAAAGACCAAGGCTGGGAGAGGCTCTGTCTTCCCAGCTAGTGAGAGACAGGAAAACGAGACCCACAACCTGTGAAAGGTGGTTGGGGGACCAGACAGGGGACCTGCGCAGGGGCAAGCGTGGTGGTGGTGGTGGTCAGAGCACAGCTGTTCCTGAAAACCCAGCCCTCGGGACGCCTTTCCTCTGGGAAAGTTGTCGCCTAGCAGGAGGCAAGTTTGACACTTTCCAAGGAGGTGTTAGGAGGTTGGAGAAGGCAGAGAACGTGACTGGCCCTTAAGTGCGCTTAGTCCCTGCTTCGACCTCCGTGGGTCTTGGAGTGTCCAGGGCATACTTCCGCGTGGTCTCTTTCTGCCTCATGTTCGTGATTTGCTCCCGCTGCTTCTAGAAAAGGGACACCCAGCTGAAGGTAGCTTATTTTGTTCTGCCCAGTGGCCTGCTGTGCCAGAGCTCTGCACACTTCGTGAACAATCCCAAACAAATGAAATGGGAGTGGTGTCTATCTTTTCATGATGCTGCTGGGGGGTGCCCTCCCTGGGTCTCTACCAGGGACCTCCTGAGCCTACACTGAAGCCCATCTCTGTCGTTTGGCCTCTGCACGCTTCACTCTGTCGTGGCGCCCTTTACTGAGACGTGAACACCGCAGAATTTAGACGGTCATTGTCTAGGTCTAGCAGTCACTTCTTCCCTTGCCTTTCCTTTCCCCCCAGAAGTTGGGCCCAGACTCCACTGTGAGTGGCTTGGGGGACAGAGCAGCTAATTCAGTCCCCCCAGGTAAGAAAGAGAACTTGCTGCACTCTCTCAGCCAGTTGGTTCTCCCCAGGCTATTAACACAAGTTCAGATGATCTGTGCTTGTCTGGCAACATTAACTTCCTAGGGTCTAAGGTAAACTGACTCTAGAATAGATAATGCTGTGAGGCATCTGTTCTCACGCACTAGGTCCTAGATACAAAAATCATATGTAGAAAGCATATTCTGTAGAACTCTCTTCAGTTTTGCTTCTCCAGAACTAACTGTTCTCTCCTATGACTTCACACAAACTATTTTCTCAAAACCATCTTACACAAAAACATGGGGAAAGGAGCAATGACTACCTTATGGACCTGAGCCAGAAAAATGACACATCCAAAAAGTTATTTTTTAATTGCTACCCTCAATAATAATCACCCTCAACCTTCACACATGGGACTATATCTAATCAGGTATAAACTTGTTCAGGCCTAAATTGAATTCTAGGCCTTCAAAAAGTCTTAACATCTAGGTCTTCATATGCAATATGTTTATTCTTATATGACTTAATTTGACAATTCTGGATATTTATTTTTTAAATATGGGTTTCCTTAAAACTTTAAAGGAGATTATTAATGTCTTGGTTATCTTTATGTTGCATTACCAGATGGCTACCAAATCAATCAGAGAATTGGCTTTTCAACCAGTAAGTTCAAGAGAACAAATATATTTTGATCCCCTGCCTATTGTTTCTGCCACTTTAAAATATAGGTACAGGGTGAAGAGAGGGTAGTAAACAGGAAAGGGGGCCAAATATATGATGATGGAAAATGATTTTACTTTGGGTGATGGGCACACAATGGAATATACAGACCGTGTATCATAGAAATGTATATTTGAAATCTATATGATCTGATTAACAAATGTCACCCCAATAAATTTAATAAATAATAAAATAAAATATAGGTAGTGTTATTTATAGTAATCATGCTATTACTATTGTATGTGACAAGTTGATCTTGGAATTCTTTAAGAGACCACTTCTCCAAGTATTAGAATTGAAGAAAGACTTAATTTTGGTAGTTTTTACTTGCTTATGAAATCTGTTAAAAGGCTGTTGACTTTCTATGCAGTGTTTGGGGATACAGTCTCCCACTGATGCTACAGTAATAGCCCTGGATTAAACAATGAAATTTGCAATTTATTTGAACTGAAATCATGAACAATGGTTTCCACTCAAACAGTGCAGTTTGCAATATGACCAGAGGGGCACTTTGGGTGTGAGAGCATAGTTTTTGAAGAAATAAGCTATATTTCCAAGGCTCTCATAAAGCAATGTGAATCACCACTGTGTGGTAACTACTTGATATCTACTCCCACAAACCCTTTTCATTTCTTTTTTGCCTCTCTTTTCCTTGGAGAAAATTAATCAGGTATCTGTCTCTCTCTGGCTTCAGGGAAATATGCCACGGACAGATTCCAAGCTAGAATGTCCTGGTATGTTCTGCCTAGACCCCATCCTGGGAGAGGAATGGTTTATGCTGCTCATCTCCCAGCAGTCCAATTTACAGTCTAAGTCCACACCTCAGAAGGCAAGCTGAGTCCAGGTGCTGGGGAACCTACCCACACTGGGGTCCACACTGTGTGTCAATCGCCTATCTCTTTTTAACTCAGGAGTTACCCAGAGCCTAAAATGGAGAGGAAATGCGGTGAAACCCAGGTACTGAGTGTGGGGATTATATCCCTCTTCCTGGTTGTTCAAAGAAATTTAATGTACAGCCTCTCAACTTGATGACGTTCCTAAGGCCTAGAGTCAGTTTTCCTCAAAATGTGATGTTCCTTTCCATTTTCTATTGCTAGACACCCCTGGGTTCCCAATCTGCCTGGAAAGCCCATCCAGGAGGGTTAGGAGGCCCAGAATGACTGCCTGTGGCGCTGCCTACATTTACTTCCTCCCACTCTCCTCCCACTACGAGGTCTGTTCAAGGACTGCAGTGTCTGACTATGGAAAAACTTTGTAATCTGCAGATTTGACAGAAAACCTTGCCAGCTCTCTAGATATTCATCTGGGAAGGGATATAAAAGCTGAGAGAACTCAGGGGGTCAAGATTCTGGGTACTGGATTGATCGCAGGTCAAAGACAGGTGGGCCTGAGGCATCAATTTTGGATCTGTGGTAGTTGCCTTTAATGTCACCTCAGTTGCTAGCCCTGCTGAAATTTATACTCAGAAGCCATTAAGTGTGCTGACTATAATCCAGATCCAGGAGAGAAAATGAATTACACAAAGTTCTCAAAGACCATTCGGCTTGCAGCTGAATTCCAGCAGAGTGTCGGGTAGAACTTGAGAACCCATAGAGAGAAGGTTTTGAACTTGAGAAAGGCAGGTTATAATCATAAGAACAGCAGCAGTTCTAATGGTAGTAGCATCCGCAGCATTAAAAACAGCTCCCATTTATTGGAAAACAGGAAAAGCTGAAGAGAAAAAATGTGAGTTAGGAGTTGGGAGCCTAGGGTCCCTCCCTCACAGGCTCTAGAAGTATCTATCCTTAAGTCTCTTGCTCACCCAGAACCAGTCTGGGAAACACTCACTGATTTCTCACTTGATGAACCAACAGTAATACTTAATGTAAGGAATAGGTCCAAACTGAAATTGCCAAGTGTATTTATTTATTTATTTTTAAAAAGTATCTCCAATCCTACCCTGCAAATCTGTCTCTTCTTGCCCCTAAGTGATTCCTCAGAAACTTAAATTCTCCATGGTGAGGCTGTGAAGTCCCATTATCTTCCTCCCTCAATCCTTACCATCCCTTCCAGAGATGTCCTTTTAGGAAAATTATAAGCGTAGGAAAAAGTCTCCATTGTCTGCTTTCTTAGTATCTCTCTTGACTTCCAGTGTGTTCTTCCTTCACCGTGATAAATATGTGTCAACAAAACCTTTGCTGGTGTAGAGCTTTGGAAATGGGATTTTAGCAGAGGGTAAAATAGGACCTAGAAAAGGATAAAGAAAATGTGTGTTCATTCTTATAGGGTAATAATCTAAGTGGGTTATTCTCAGAGACTTTATCTGTCTCCCATCACAGAGGTTGAGATATTTTGGGCCCCATTTCTCTACCCTGGGAAGAGAAAGGACATATGTGTTGTAATACTCTCTAAGAATCAGATTTCCTTTCTTACCCTTTCTTCATCTTCTCACTTAGGTCATAAAAGTCACCACTCAAGAATCATTCATTCATCACCCTTCTCTCCAAAAACAATACTGCAGTTGCCTACACATATATTTTTACCATAACTGCCGGAAGCCTTGCTAAAGTGGAGTTAGGTAAACATACCCTCACTCTTCATTGTCATCACTCTAACTATTTAATTGGATATAAAACCCCAGGGAAAAGAGCTCCACATATATGAATAAACCCATTGTTCCATGTGAATTAAATAAAAACTATTGACTGAGGTGTGCTTTTACAGCATTGTTTAAGGCTAAATAAATGCCTCGAGCCTTCATGTAGTATCAGTGAATTCCAAAAAGTAGTAATGCAGAGTAATTTCAAAGTAGTTTATGCACGATTTTAGCCCATAAATTTCTAGAGAAATAAACACAGTTTGTAGATTTTTAAGCTCCTATCAATGATTGTCATTTACACCATTTATATTACCAAGCAAATATGTATCACTTAAAATACTAGAAAACCCTCAAAATAGGAATTTCTAGCTTAATCTTGCCCAGATTTGCTTTTTCATTATGTCAGTCATTTAATACATAAGAGAAATAATTGATTGGATTAATAAAATGTTAGAAAATCTTTTATTTGGGATTTTTTCTGAAATTAATAGGGGAAATCTAATCATGGGAGCAGAAAAATGAAACAGACAAAATGTCATCTAATGGTCACCTTCTCAAGACATCCCTTCCCTTTTTGATGTATAGAATCTTAGCTATTTTCTGCTTGATATTTGGAAGGGCAAGCTCCTCCACTCCCAACTTAAGTGTAGGAAGCATTCTTTATTTTATACAAACTGGAGTCTAGGTTTCAGTACCCCAAAGGAGACATAGTCTAAGACGTGACCTTTATGTGTAAGGAGGGAAAACCCAGGGTAAAGAAAAATGCCTTCCATTTAAAGTTTAAGGTTTTCTAGAATGTCCACATTCTGGAATAGATGCTTTTATATTTAGAACATGTACTAGAAAAGAATTTTAAGTGGCCTGCATGGGCAGATGATTTTTCCTGGGAAAGGCAAACTTCCTGTTCTCTAAATAACAGCAAAAGGAGGCTCTAAGGAACGTTCTGTTCAACAGTTTAATGGAATTCGGTTTGAGGACACGCTCCCCAAAGCCCACACATATACCTCCCTGTGCTTTGTCAGACTGCAGTTTCCAAGGGACCACAACTCTCTTGTGGTTACTTCTTTATCCAGATCTTGTTTACACCCGTGCCTCCTTCTTTATCCTTCTCTCCTTCTCTGAATTCAGTTAAGTGTTTGGAGACTGTTTTCCCACCTTGTGGATTATTTTTGAGAAGTTTGAGGCAATTCTTTGATGTTGCTTTGCTAATCCTCATCCCCTTTCTTTAAACAAGAGATGGAGGGTGACAAGGCGGGTGGGAGGGAGAAGAGGGGGAGAGAGGTGAATGGAACATCGAGTCCTAAGACAATTGGTAGCCAAATGCAGTGATTCTCATATGCGGACTGTGAGAGCCCTCAGCTTTGTGCTTTGGTCATTACATGGGTTTCCTGTAGCCAAACCATGTAAAGGTGTTCACACATATATAAAGAGAAATGACATATATAAAGAGAAATGATATGTGAAGACAACCGCAGTTTGAAAGTTTTCGTGGGAAAACCAGTAGCTAACCTGAAAATTAAGGGAGAATTACCTTCACTCTCCCACCCCTCAACCCCCGCCAAAATATAGGGATTTTTCAGCCCTACTTTTCTGGAGTCCCAGCTAATCCTAGGCAACGTTGGCTGGCTGGCTGTATCTGATAGGAAGGATTGCAAATTTATTTGCGGGAGCTGAGCAGGGGCTGTTGAAATGTGAAGGGGAGGAGAGACACAGACAGACAGACAGACACACACACACACACACACACACACACACACACACAGGGAGACAGACAGAGAGACAGACCGAGAGACCGAGACCAGGGAGAAAAGAACTCACTTTTCCTGGCTTTCTTGGACCGTGCGCGCCAGCAAGGAGTGGCTGTCAGAGCCTCGCTGCCGGGTTCCAGAGGGAGGTCTCCAAGCTGCGAGAGGGAATCAGACTAACACCGTGAGCACCTTTTTCCTTTTAAGCTGCTCTTTGCCAACCCACAACCCACTACTTTATTTCAACACTGGATAAAAATAAGGATGTGTTCTCTCCTCCTTAAATTGTGTGGCTTCGTCCAGTTTCGCTGGCTACACATCCGGCGTATCCTAAAGCTAACCAACTGTCCTCTTCCATGTAAGGTTTTGTGGGTGGGGCTGGAGGAGTAGGACGGTCTATACCACTCAAGGGCCTTTCTTCCCATAGGATTAGAGAGTTTAACGGCGAAAAAAAAAAAACAAAACCCCGAGAACTCGCCAGTGAAAATGTGTTGCGGCTCCAGTAGGAGTCAACTTTCAGGTTCTTAAAGACCTCAAGTCATTAGCTCCAGCCCCTGCCCTAAAGGGGCCAGTCAACACCTCTGAAGTGGCCTAGCGCGCAACACCAGGCTCCCGAGGCGGCAGCGGTGACTCCATCCACTCTTCTACCACCGTATGGACCTGAAGAGCTCCCCGGAGCACATCTCGGTAATAATTTTTACAATGACACCCCCCCCACACCCAGAAGTCTTAGTATGTGGGCCTCCTCCAAAATAGGCCCCCTCCCTCCGGGACTACGCAGAATGCGTGGGGCAGAGGGCGGGAGAGCGGGGATGGCTGGAGTGTACAGTAACCTAGGTTCATCCCGCCCATCTGTCTCTCACCCCTTCCCCCGCCCAGGTGTTTGTGTCCTGGGGCCAGACGAACTCTGTATATCCCCTTAGGAAGTCTGGCAGCGTTCCCACTTTATTGTCCGTGCTCCACCTCCAGCTCCACAGAAAGACCGTATCAAGTTCTCACCAAAGCGCATCCTTTCTGAATCTTGCTTGGAAGGGCTCGGTGGAGTGAGGGCTCCTGGAGAGAGCTGGAGCTGTCTGATCAGCCCCAAGCAACTAGCTGGGTGAACCAGCGACGCCTCAATGGCCAGACAATCCCTTGGGGCTAATCTGAAAACCCCTCCCCAGCACAAATCTCAGACTCCGGAGATGCGCGTGGGCTCCGCACCCTCACTGAGTGGCCACCTTTTTGTCAGAGGTTCTCCAAGTGCCAGGGGAAACGGGAAAAGGCTATTTCCACTTCTGATACTTCCCTTTAGGACCTACAAACAGATTTCCCCCTTCCTACCAGTCCCAGAGGGTCGATGCTTTAGGAGAAAAAGGACCAACTACGCTCAGAGAGGCGTTGCCACTTAGGGAAGGAGCTCAGGACCTGCGGGTAGACAGCAGTCTGGAGAGAGACCGCTTCCAGGCAGGCAGCGCCGGAGGGAGCGCCCAGCCCAGCAAAGAGTTAAAGGGAGGGGACGTGGGCTGTCACGCGTCATTGGGCAGATTATGTGCAGCAAACAAAAAGTGTGTGTCTGCGTGCCAGTCAGTCACTGCATCGGGTCCATCTGTACAACTCATTCTCTCTCTCTCTTTCCTCTTACTCTCCCCTCCTTTCGCTCTGCCCATCTCTCCATCCCTCCTTCCCCTCTCAGGCAGCGCCTACTAGACAGCAATACCAACACCTCTTGACATGGAAATACACTGATACAATAGGCAAAAGAAACAGTCGATAGCATCTCTCGGTTCCAGGTGGCGTTATTTGGCCGATTCTATCCTGACCTTATTCCTGGTAAGTCTCTATTTGCATTGATGGTGAAGGGGGATGGGAGGAAGGCTGGTTTCGTAGGAAGAGTGGAAAATTTTCTTCTCCGTTTCCTTAGTATCCAGAAAGGGGGGGGGGGGATAATTGTAGAGGGGATCTCTGCTGCCAATAAGATTATACAAAGGGAGGAGCTGGTGGAGAGCACTTTGCCCGAGAAGCAAGCGACTGGGGCGCGCGCGACCGCCAGACAATGCCTGCTTCCAGGGGAGGGCGAGCGGCCGGCGGCAGCGCAGCGAGCTCAGCCGGCTCGGGGAAGGTGCCCCGGCGGACGGGAACTTGGGCCCGGGAAGAGGATGCTGAGCTGTGAAAGGTTGGGTGGCAAAGTCCACCGCGAGCGGGCGGGCGAGCCCAGGCTTTGGTCTCGCCCTGCGATGACTGTGACCGGCTCGATGCTCCTGGCCTTCGCCTCGGAGACGCGATCCCCTATTAGCGTGGTGCAGCGAGGACCTTTTCACCGTATTGTTAGGTAAAACTGCATTTTAATGATTGTGTCCCTGCTGTTGCCCGACGTGACGGCTCGACATCCCGGCACAATGACACGTTTGTTTGAAAGACACTTTTAAAAGGACGAGAGAAATTGGGGCATAAAACGCCGAGTTGGGGAAATTGAAAAGGACTCCTTTAAAAAGGAGTTGGGAGGTTCTGGAGGATTTAAAAAATATATCTAAAATTTCAGTTGGCGATAAGAAACGCTATCCTGTGTGGGGTAAAAATGTCCAGGGATCAAGTAAGTTTCTACTTCACGGATCTTCCTCTTATTTCCGTCTGGCAGATGCTGCCCAATACCCGACATCTGGGGGGTGTGGCCAAGGGAATGAAAGAAGAGCTGACCAAAGTTCCACGCTCTGTTAGCTGTAAGGGGAAAAAAAGCAGCACCTTGTAATCACATTGGCAAAGTTATTTGGTTAATAGACATTAAGATAAAAATGGGCATTACTAATATTATTCCATAATTAACAAATTCTCAGGAGAAGAATTAGGTTTACTACTTAAATTATGCAAAACATACATGAATCTCTGCCTATGGTGGAATTATTGGGGAAAAACCAACTTGAGGAAATCTTTTCATCAATCAGAAAGAGTGAACAATGCAGTTAGTTCAAAGCCAGTTTAAATTTTAAATAACAAGTTTTTTAAGTGATAAGTATTGTAGGCAGTGTCCAGTGACAAAGGAAAAAAAAGTCGAATGATAGCTTAATAGAGAGCCCTCCATTGGGGCATCACTTTCTAAATTGCTGAGGATTAAACAGCTGGAGTGTCCACTGAGGTCTACTGAAGCGGGGCTGCCCCCTCTTGCCCAGACTGGTCTGCATTTAGGGAGCAGGAATTCACCAGTCATTACACATGCAGTGTTTCACGCAGGGGACACTTCGGACCGGCCCTGTACCTCTTCACTTCATGAGGCACATGTGACTCCACCCCCTTGTATAACAAGGTAACTGGGATTCATCCTCATCCATAAATAAGCACGTTGAGAAAAAAAATAATTACCTCTGCTTGCTGCTTTTAATTAAAGCCTCGGAGGGACAGTGTTGGATTATGGTAATGAGCAGACATGCGTCCTTTCTTGTAGGCTGCAGAGAAAGGTTAGCTGACACGGAATCAGTGGCCCTGACACTCCACTTGAAATCCATTCGCCATGCTTGGCTGTCTCCACCTGTTCGCTAGTGCTGCTCCCCTCTTTGGAAGAAAATGAAATAAAATCAGCTCCCAGGCATTCAGTCCAGTGCATAAGAGAAAAGGAGAGAAGCTCTCTTCCCAACATTGGAAGTTTCAGTGAAGAAAGTGTATAGGCTAGTAAAAAACACTGTTGTTTTTTTCTACCCTCACCGCCCCCAAATCCTGCCCCATCTTCCCCAACTTTACTGCAAAAAAAAAAAAAAATCTTGTCTTCCCTAGCCCTATGCTTTCTCTCTCACAAGCAGTTAGTCTACCTTGAGCTGACATTATTCCAATTTTTTAGTTGGCCTCTTCAAAATATGCCAGATTTAATCTGCCATTGGTTTTATTTATGAAATAAAAGCTATGCGAAAAAGCAGGCAAATTCAAGAAAAATCTGTCGAGTAGTTAAAATGTTCTGTCTGGATTCATAAAGGCAAAAAGAGTAATGTTCTTCACTTTGGTGTCCTGTGTGTCTGTCTCTAGTGATGGAGGATTCAGGCATCCAGCGAGGCATCTGGGATGGGGATGCCAAGGCCGTCCAGCAGTGTCTGACAGATATCTTCACCAGCGTTTACACCACCTGCGACATTCCCGAGAATGCTATATTCGGTCCCTGCGTCCTGAGCCATACTTCCCTGTATGACAGCATCGCTTTCATAGCTCTTAAGTCCACTGACAAGAGAACAGTTCCTTACATCTTCAGGGTAAGTCTTTGCAGATGCTGCTTGGGGCAGGAAGGTAATGACCAGTTGAAAACTGACTGTTATTCTAGTGACAACTGAGACACATTGTGGATGTAGAAATTGCAGTAAAGTGGGTCACCCTGTTTCACACACCAAAAATTGAAAAGGAAAAATTAAACTGAAATAATTGTCAACTGATTTTTCTGGAATAAATGACCAAATCAGTGGCTCAATCCTGGGCTTTCCTGACCATGACGTTGACTCTGGGAGATTTTGGAAGACTGAGGCTATTTGCATAATGAGTACATTCTTTAAGTATGGGAGCATTTGCCTTCCAATATAGGGGTCCCCTTCCCCTAAACATATTACCCTTTCTGGGAGCAGTAGCTAATGCCCAGAGTTTGTATTTGAATAAAAATGTTAATGGTTTGACAATAAAACATCATTAAATCCATATGTTTTAGTGTGGATATAAAAGTCCTTTTCTCATTCTTTCTTTACAAAGAACTAATAATTGTTTCAGTCAAAATTAAAATGAGCGAACGCCAGAAGACAATTTCTGAGATCTAAACTTTTCATTGCCAAAGCAAAGAAAATTCCTCCACATTTTTGTAGTATGGAATAATTTGAATTGGAAGAATTTTCCTCATTTGATGTTCAACCGATATATGAAAACAACGACTTAAATAATCTACATGATTGATCCAGCCTTTCAAAGAGCAATTCTCTTGCCTGCTGGGTACAAACAAGAGGATGGGTTCCAACTTGGGTCAGGTGTTTTTGAATCTTGATCTTAAATAATTCTTTGGAAAAGAGTGAGGTGTAGGAAATGGACCCGGTTCCTCTGGCTTTATTCTCTCTCACAAGAGTCTCGCTCCCCAAGCCCCTTCCTTCCTGTATTCTTTCTTTCTTTCTTTTAAACTGTAGGTAGACACCTCGGCAGCAAATGGTTCCTCAGAAGGTCTCATGTGGCTGCGTCTTGTCCAATCAGCCAGAGATAAAGAAGAGCAGAATCTTGAAGCCTATATAAAAAACGGACAGCTGTTCTACCGCTCTCTCCGAAGGATTGCCAAAGATGAGGAGTTACTAGTTTGGTACGGCAAAGAACTGACTGAGTTACTCTTGCTCTGCCCCTCTAGACCCCACAGCAAAATGAATGGTAGGTTGGCTTTCGACCCGCGTGTGGGCCCTTAGCAAACGGGGTGGGGGGCGGGGAGAAATGCAGGGAGCGGCGCTGTCTTACTGTGGCTCCTGGGCGCGTCTTTCCTCTCTTTGGGCCTCTCTTAGGAAGCTTCTGTGATCTAGTCTGTAATGAAGCTGGGGAAGATGGGTAAGGATAAATCGGGGGGACACTTGGCTTAATTACTGCCCTTCCCCCAAATCAGGAGGGAGGTTAGAGCCCCTTTTTTTCAGGCACTGAGGCCTGAGAGGTTCAGGTGGGTTGGTGAAGGGGGTGATGACAAACTGGCCTAGAGACGATCCTGAGTAATCATGTCGTGTGCGTGTGTGCCTGCGCGCGTGTGTGCATCTGTGTGGTGTTTGCTCACTAAGCAGGGTCGTCCCCTTACACATGCCTGGAATGCAGTCAACGTTTCCAGTTTGAGTTCCCCTATGTGGCGCATCTGCGCTTCCGCTGCCCCAAGAGAATTCACAGCGCTGATAGGAGCCCCCAGGACGAACAGGGTGGCGGCGTGGGCACCAAGGATCACGGGGGCGGCGGCGGCAAGGAGCAGCAGCAGCAGCAGCAGCAGCAGCAACAACAACAGGAGGCGCCCTTGGGCCCGGGCCCCAAGTTCTGCAAAGCTGGCCCATTCCACCATTACCCGACCTCCTCCCCCGAGGGCAGTAACCCTCCCGGGACTGGAGGCGGCGGCGGCAGCTCGAAGCCATCCACGGACTTTCACAACCTGGCCCGGGAGCTGGAAAACTCGGGGGGAGGCGGCAGCTGCTCCCCGGTCCGGAGCCTCAGCAGCGGCAGCAGCAGCAGCAGCAGCGGCGGCAGCGGCGTCGGCCACCAGGAGGCGGAGCTGAGTCCCGACGGCAACTCCGCGGGCCCGGGCAAAGGGAAGAGGAAATTCCCGGAGGAGGCCTCGGAGGGCGGCGGCGGCGCCGGCGCGGGGCTGGCGGGGGCCCGAGGCCGCTTCACCGAGCGGCCCCTGTCTGCCTCCAAGGAGGACCTGGTCTGCACGCCGCAGCAGTACCGCGCCTCCGGTAGCTACTTCGGCCTGGAAGAGAACGGCCGCCTCTTCGCGCCGCCCAGCCCGGAGACGGGCGAGGCGAAGCGCAGCGCCTTCGTGGAGGTGAAGAAGGCGGCCCGGGCGCCGGGACTGCAGGAGGAGGCGGCCGCCGAGGGCGGGGTTGCAACTGTCGACGACCAGGACGCGGGCAGCGGCGGCGGCTCCTCCACGCCCGTGGCCGCGTCGCCGGCCAGTGCGGAGAAGCTGCTGGCCCCGCGGCCCGGGGGCCCGCTGCCCGGCAGGTTGGAGGGCGGCAGCCCGGCGCGTGGCAGCGCTTTCACCTCCGTGCCGCAGCTGGGCGGCGGCGGCGGCGCTGGGGGCGGCGCGGGAGCGGGCAGCGCGGGCGGCACCGGCGGCACGGGCAGCTGCCAGGGCGCCGCGTCGGACGAGCGCAAAAGCGCCTTCTCGCAGCCGGCGCGCTCCTTCTCGCAGCTGTCCCCGCTGGTGCTGGGCCAGAAGCTGAGCGCGCTCGAGCCCTGCCACCCCAGCGATGGCGTGGGCCCCACCAGACTCTACCCCGCCGCTCCCGACCCTCTGGCCGTGAAGCTCCAGGGAGCCGCGGACCTGAACGGAGGTTGTGCGGCCCTGCAGGGCGGTGGTGGCGGCCTTCCCAAACAGAGCCCCTTCCTCTACGCCACCGCCTTCTGGCCCAAGAGCTCTGCGGCCGCGGGGCCCCTGCAGCTACAGCTGCCCTCGGCGCTCACGCTGCTGCCGCCCTCCTTCACCTCGCTGTGTCTGCCTGCGCAGAACTGGTGTGCCAAGTGCAACGCCTCCTTCCGCATGACCTCCGACCTCGTGTACCACATGCGGTCGCACCACAAAAAGGAGTACGCCATGGAGCCCTTGGTGAAGCGAAGGCGGGAAGAGAAACTCAAGTGCCCCATTTGCAACGAGTCCTTCAGGGAGCGCCACCACCTCTCCAGGCACATGACCTCCCATAATTGACACGGAAAGGACCGCAGCTTTTCACTCAGCATGTCCACGCACAGCACAGTCAAGCCACCTGTAGGAACAAACACGTGATGGCATCCACCACCTCCTAGTGACCTGAGACATTGCACCCAGAGAGACAGTCACGTCACACACATACTCTCAAACACGTGTGCTCCTCCAGTGATCTCATTCAGATGTTTACCTGCCACCTACACTACGCACACACGCGCGCACACACGGGATGGTGGGTTTTTGATTGGGCGGGTTGTTTGAGGGGTTTTCTTTTGAATGCACGCATTTTCACTTTCCCAAAAACAAAGGTACATTTTTTAAAATGTCATATATTGCAACATATTGATGCATTTGTCATACGTTTCTACTTAAATTATTAAGCACTTACAATTTAGATGTAATAATTGTATGTAAGGGCAAAATTTATTTTAGATAAAAAGTAAAGGAGGAGAATGAGATACTTTCTGCATTTCTTGATGACAATTTGTGTTCTTACGAAAACAAAGTAAAAACGGGGGTCAGCATTCAATCGAAGTTTCCAGGGGGAAGTGCATGTATCATGAAATGATTATGGACTTCAATGAAGAATGTCATCATTATGTAAATATGTATTTCCTTTTAATACAAAGTGTAATTTTGTGCCAGTGAAATGGAGTCTGAATAGTTATGTGTTTCTTTTATCCCTGGAAAGATTTATTAAACTTTATAGATTATCTGGGTATGTTGGATGCTTTGACAATAAATGACTATTTTCTTCAGAGCAATTATTTGGAAAGTTTTTAAATAGACTTTTGTAGCCAAGAACTACACTTTGCAGAGATACCATGTATTTTCACTGCGTCCCTGGAAAGAAGAGATAGCAGGAGAGGGACGGTGAACTCTGCCCCACTTGCATTTATTTACTCTAAGACAATTTTGAGCCCCAAAGAGAGAGGAGTAGGTTTGGTTATTAGCTGGAGAATCTTTAGCTGGAACGCGGTGAGCGTCCTCATGAAAGGACAAAGCGTTTAAGCAGGGACGCCTGCTGCGAAGCTAGCCTGTCCTTGGGACTTCAGTGTTCTTTTCAGCAGCAGGATAATGAGCATCTTCACATGTGACCAGAGACAATTTTCAGGCCTGGATCAGAGAAACCCAATGAAAAACCCACTTAAGTTTCTATTGGTGGTGCCTACGTGGAAGAGTACGTTGTCCTCTAGAACCAGTTGGCATTCTCTCACTACCCATTGAGACCCTACAGAGAGTCTCTTTAGAAACCAAAGTGAAGTGACCACAGTTGTCTGTATTGCAGGGCACAGCTTTCCTTCTAAAGGCTCGAGCAGCTGCACAGCTTCTGGAAAATACTAGTCCTGGAGTCGTACCATACAGAAGACCCTGATACCTTGCCTCCTCTCCCTGTCCTTCCTCTTATGAAAAGTCCCTTTGTATTCTTCATATACTGACAACAGATCTTAGTTAAATGGAGTGTATGTGAGAGTGTGTGGTATACCCAGCAGCCATTAGATGAAAAACAAAGTGGATGACCATCCTTTAGGTATTAGGATGGCATGACCCTAATCCACGGGCATCGTCAGACTCACTCTGTGCATGCTCCAGTGACGGACATGACACTGCATAGACCACAGGTGTTCTTTTCCACTTTCCCCCTTCCCTCACGTCTTGCCAACCCTCCCCTGTCAGATGGAGGACACTTGTGAAGAGGTCTGAAACTTGTACACGTTCTCATTGTAGGCATTCAAAGCTTTTTCCTAAAAGTGTTTTAAAGGCTTCATTATCTTGGGGTGATTACAGAACAAGTTATGATTATGGCAGGGAGCAGGTAAAGACCAGAGGCAGAACAAATAGATGCATCCATGGTGTGACCCAGGTTGGTGAAAATGCAGACTGACTTTCTTAAGATCATCCAACTACTTTTGTGCTATGTATTGTTGAGGCCTGCTCTCACGTCTGCTAGGCAACAGTTGGATACTCTGAAACACTTGTCCCCAGCAATGTGTGATCAGAGCAGCAGTCCAAAATTCCAGTTCCAGCTGCTGTTCAGGACTAGTACAACCCTGCATTATTATCAGCATCATTTGATTTACCTGCATCCTGGTTTTCTCATCTATACAGAGTGCTGTAGGTCCTACAATCTTTAAAGCACTTGTAGTGAGGAATTGATTTTTCTCATGGTTAACCAAGCTCCTATTAAATCTAAAGGGGGCTTTGCAGAGAAAAGAACAAGATTGGTTGTGAAGCAAAACTGATGGCAAGAATTGAGAAGGATATTTGGGGCAAATGGAAAATGGGCTTCAAGAGACCCTTAAATCACACTGCTTTAGGGGGCTGACTAAATTGTCCATGCCTGGAATACTAGTGGATCGCTGAAGAAAGTTTCTTAAAAACAAACAAACCCCAGCTGTCTGGGGCCTAACTGTAAAAACAAACAAACTTGAATGCCCTTTTTTTATGTCCGATCCTTCTGGAATCTCTTTTTCACTACATTGGCTTTACTACCTGTTGGGGATTCAGAAATAAACTCAGGTCTAAAACAATACTGGTTTTTTGATAAGGACTTCCTCATAGTTGGGAATCCCATATTTTGATACACATTGACACTCCCTAAACTTCCCTTGTGTTTTGTTTTGTGTGGTCATTAACGTAATCACACAATCAGGAAGAAAGCCAAACATTGGCTAAGCTACTGCCCGGGTGATCCAGGTAGGTGTGTTGTGCAGACACTTTAGGACTGGGCAGCTATGCCAATCAATCTGCCCAGAAGACCTTTTGGGCAGGAAGTAGTAAGGGAAGAGTGCCCGGAGCTAGTTTTGCCCTCAGCCAAGACAAACTGACAAGTGTTTTATTTTATTCCTCCATTTTCAAGCTTTCGGATGTATCTTAACTCTCTGTGTCTGAATTTTCTCGGATGAGTGTTTCTAAATTCCATAACCCCACCTTCTGCCCAACTGACTGAGGTCGTTGGCTGAGGGCGTGGGCTTAAACGTCTGCGCACAGCTGCAGAAGAAAAAAGGTCACAGGGTCATGCGGACTTGGAGCTACTTTGAAGTCCTGGAGGGTGGCCTGAGCTCCCAGTGCCAAGACCACAGGTCCTAAGTGGGAGAGAGAAAACCGGCTGGTTGTTGCACCAGCATTTGTTGTGTCCCAGGGGCAGAACGTCTGGGACTATAGCGCCGGCCATCTCCAAGCGTGTGCTAGAGCGAACCTGACTCCCTCTCCTCATTTGGAGTTTGTGAGTTGGGGGACATCTGTATTACCCACGATATGCTCAGGGTATAGAGTATGCCCTTAGGCGTGTGGGAACCAGAGGACGCGCATGGAGACCCACGCACATCTTAGCACCAGTTCACAGGCGCTGGAGAACTCAGACCGAAACCGACCCTTCCGGGGAAAATTCCTATGGTCCCGGGCCCACTCCTAGGCTCTGCGGCCCTCTGAGGACCAGAGTCACGACTGTTGCAGTAGCAGCCACGCGTGGACCAGTCCCAAGCCCTGACGTGGGGCAGCCGTCCGTCGCGGAGGAGGGCAGGATGGGGTCAGGGATGGAGACAGTTGTCCACCCGATGTTCGCATTTCCCGCGTCCCACCGGGTGTCTGAACGGCTCAGAACCACCTTTCTGGTCCTCTGCTGAGTTCCACCCCCCAACGCCGCACTTTATCGGCTTAGGCGCCCAGCCCAATGGGCGTGACCCGGAGCGGGAAAACGTTGGACGCCCGGGGCCAGTGTTACCCAGAAAACTGGCCAGGAAGTGCGTCCTCTCCCCACTCTATGGATTGAGCGGCTGTCCTGGGGAGTCCAGGTGTTCCTATCTCTTTCTCCACCTACTACTGCCAGACTCCCCTCCGCTGCGACCTCCGAAGGAAGAGTCTGCGCCTGTCTGCAGGGCCCAGGGCAGGTGTGCGCACGGCCGCTCCCGCCTCCAGTGCGGCCTTCGGCGCTGGGGCCTGCACCGAGACTCCGCTGGTAAACCGACCGACACTTACCCACAGAGCTCCGGACAGGCAGGTAGAAGGATTCGCCTGGAGGGTTTAGATTTTCTTTCTCTCTCTATTTGCCCAATCCCACGCTCTGGAATCAATTTGGCTCTGTCTACGATGTCTTTCGGTTTCTCTTCCCTCAATCCTTCCTCACCTCCATGCTCTCCCATCTTTAGGGACTTTCGGAGCTTTGAGATCGTTTCTGGAGTTTTGTTAACAAACCCCCGTGATGATTCTCAGCCACACAGACCACTCCTATGGTGCTTGAACCAGCCCATCAGGAAATTACATTGTCAATTATCCAGCACTGAGGACCACCTCACGCACCACCCAGGAAGCAAAGAGATGGGCAAAGTGCCAGTGCCCCATACGCACGCGCACACGCAGCCACCTCTTGGCCAGTTCCCCCAGGACAGGAAGTACCAGGTCTGGCTTTTGAACTGATGCACTTTTCGCTTTCCTTGCAAATGTCGTCTTCCTCTGAGGGTGCAAAAATATCTTCAAGGAATGTAGAAAATTTAGTGTGCCCAGAAGCTGAGCTGGGAATGAAGCGAGAAGCTGGGACACCTCTCTTTCCTCTTCCAATGCATTTTGGTAGACAGGTGGGCTATGAGGCCTGGAATGTTGAAACAGAAACGTATGTGTTACTGGTGGGCCCCAGTGCCTTCTGGCTTCGCAGCCTGGGTGGCTGGGAGAAGCGATGCTCTCTGACTCTGCATCGCAAATCGTACTGCTAAGGCAAACTTTGTTTCTCTTACTTTAAATAGAGACTTAAAATTTTTAAGAAACATGTCTATTCTCCAAAACTAGTAGATGAAGAAGCTGAAGAAAAAGTTCTTTTAAAAATTCTTCTTTTTTTTTTTTTATCTCTAGGGTTATGGGTATAGTAAGGAGTCCTACTTGATTAGCTAACCTGGTTATGGAAACTATTATTTCCTTATCCCTTTTCAAGTTGTGTGTGTGTTTGCACATGTACTGGAACATATATGTATGCATATTTGCACACATGGCACATGTCCACATATCTGTATATACTATACACATATATTTACATATACAAATGTACATAACTATTTTAGTACATACACATGTAGACACACAACTGGCAGGCACTATTCTAGTACTTTTTATATGTTGACTCAGTTTAATTCTAACAGCCTACCCAAGAGGTGGACCATGAAGGATCCTACTCCATCATGTTTTAGGATTGTGTGGTTAGTATGGCTGTCACCTTGGAACAGTAGGATGAGAAATAATGGGAGTGTAATGGAAAGACTAGTGGCACCTAAGTCAGAAGACATGCTCCAAATTTTGTGAGCCTTTCATCTATGTGTCTCAGTTTATTGTACTTGAACTTATGAATAAGTTGGACTTATCACACAGCTATGTCTTGCAAAGCAAGTAAAATCACTCATGTAGAACCTTTTCATACTATTATATATGATTGCCTTCCATGTTGGTGAAAGAGATATCGTTTTAGCTGAAACTTATTTTCCTCAACTGATCAGGATGCTCTAGTAATTCTGTAAGAAATCTTTTGTAGTCTTGACTTCCTTTAATGACCTTTGCTCATTCTTAAGCAGAGGTGGAAGTAATAACTGGTTTGCGTTTGTAGAGGTATATTTGACTATTCAGTGGTTCTTCCTAAATATCCCAAACATACAAAAGGGTCACTGAAAAACTATTTAAAAATAAAGTTAAGTAAAACTATAGTCTATTTAAGTAAATGAAGTTTTAATTGCCTTACCTCCTAAATTATAAGTACCATGTATTCTCAGTACTTAAAAATTATAAGCCAGCATAGCACTGGCTGAAGAATATAAAGGGCTATAAGAGAAGTCCTAGGTATAATTTGCCCTGCTGTAGAAAAGATGGTCAAAATGCAGAAGAGTAGCCCCTTTTTCTTCCTGGGTACCATGTAACAAAGGACACCTTGCTTAGAAAGCTATTCTGTGCTCAGTGCTTAAAGAGGACAGATCTGGGTCTGCAGATTATGGCAATTCATGAATGATACTCATCATCAGATAATATCCTTAGAAGGGACCCTTGATTCCAAATCAAGGTGTTTTTTTTCGTGTTTTTCAATAGAGCTTGAGCTATAAATGCATTATTTCATCATATACTTTCCCCTCTTTTAAAATGGAGATTTGAGGAATGCATACCATATGTTCTTCCTTTTCTCAAATTCTTGAGGGAATGAATTCTTTGGGGAAACAGTTATGATTCTTTGTAAACCCCAGAAATGGGACAAAACTGATTAACTCTATCCTTTCTTTGGCTCTTCACTTCTGTTCAGATGTCCCACCATCAATTCCAAATTATTTTGATCACTTATTTTACATTTTCTCTGGAGTAAAGCAGGGCTGTGGGTGTCAGGAGAGAAATCTGGAAATCAACCTCACCCTTGACCAGGATCCTAGAGCATGCCTGTCACAGGGGTTCAAATCTGGAAACCTGTAGCGTGACTCCACTTTTCCCTGGGGCTTCATCTCCATATGGGTGTGCTGGTCTTCTGCCATGGCTTGTAGAACCTCAAGCGACTTTTTCTGCATTTAGTTACTTTTCCATAAAGTGTGAAACTTGAAGGAGGAGGAGGGGAAGAACAAGAGCAAGAAGAAGAATTAGAAGAATGATTTGATGACTCTTTTAAAAAGGATTTTATTTAATTATTTTTAGAGAGAGGAGAAGGAAGAGGGAAAGAGACACCAATGTGTGGTTACCTCTCACCTGTCCTGCACGGGGGACCTGACCTGCAGCCCAGGCATGTGCCCTGACTGGGAACCAAACTAGTGACCCTTTGGTTAGCAGCCTGCGCTCAATCCACTGAGCCATACCAGCCAGGGCTTGACGACTCTTTTCGCCTGAACAAATGAATTATCTATATTCCACATGCCCCCACCCTTCACAACATATCACTGGGTATTTGAAATAGCCACACAGTGACACCCAACCTTGAAAACGTTGCAAACCACCCAGTTAGAAAGATCTTAGTGTCTACACTGTTCTCTAGGCAACAGGGTCTGGTATAGGAGCTTTATGAGGGTGGAAAAAAAAGGACGTAAAAGCAATATTACTGCAAGATCCCTTCTGAAAGAGGGGTAAATTAGACTTCTGTGTGAAAATGCTTTTGGAGAGAGCACAAGTTTTAGCAGGGCTGGATAGAGGTAAACAGTAATCACCAGCAAGCTTATCTTTATGGACATTCAGTCTGCTCTATGAATTCTATCTCAGAACCTCTCATCTTCAGTTGCTTTTTGACTTGAAGGCTTAGCTTGAAAGAAAGCTTAGATTGCTCTTGTTGTCTCCCCTCCAGCAAAGCTGTCATATGCAAGTTCCTATTGGTGTGAATACATAGAAAAAAAAAACACACCCCTCCAAAAAAAACAGCAACAAGGGAATTTATATGAAGGTATTTTTCCTCCATTTGTTTTTTTAAATCTTAATTTCTAATTTTGGAACAACCTAAGGGAAGATGAGGCGTTGGTAGCAAAGGTACTTTTCCTCCTGGGCTGATAATGCCTAAAATGGCTTCCAAATCAGAGTTCTTTGATTTTGAGGTTGCATTTGAAAGTGTTTATTAAGCTTTCAAACATGCCTAAACTTAAGACCAGTGAGATATTTGGAAAATCTACCTTTCGAAAATCTAATTCCATGCATACTAAAGATAATAGCACGGTAAAACAAGTTTCATCAAGTTATGATTGCCAACAGCTCACATATGAGTTTCTTAAGTCCTTTAAATATTCAAAATACATTTATTTTGGTATTTAGCCAATGTTATAATAGCTCAGAAACAGGGACTTGAGATTTCAGATAGTACAGGTTTCTTCTCTGGAATGGTGGCTTGCCTTTGAACATGTTTCAGGAGGAGAAATTTCAAATTTAATATGTATCATTTCTGAATCTTTGTCATATGAACACTTTTCCAACAGCCAGCTCAGGAACCCAGAAACATGGTCACCTCTCAAATCAGAAGAAAATACTGAAAAAAGAGGATTTCTGATAATGACTTCATTATTTTATTGACTCAGTAAAGAAATGACTCAGAAAGAAGATAATTTCCCCCACAGTCCCATTCACAGAAACCTTCACTAGAAGTGGTAGATATTAAGATATTATAGAGGAGGGGAAAAGTAATAATGTCTATAGGAGGACATAACAGAGATCTCTCTAAATCACCTAGGTAGCTGTTAAAAATGTAGATTCCCAGACATACCTCCAGAGATTGAAGAGATCTCATGAGGGGCCTAGAATTTGATTTTAAGTCATTATGCCAGGTGACTCTAGAGCAGGAGTTTCTTGATACAAACTTTGAGAAACACTTATGGCTTTAGAACAATAACCAGCTCTGTAGAGACTTAAATTTTCTAGTACCTCAGTCTAGAAAATTGCTATATATCTGACATATTAAGGCTCAATTGAATTATAGAGTTATAATATACATACAAAGTTTTGAAATTTTCAGGAGCTCCTACCTTTTGCAAAAGCATGGTTGGAACTGGAAAGCATTATGCTGAATGAAATAAGCCAGGCAGTGAAAGACAAATACCATATGATCTCACCTTTAACAGGAACCTAAACAACAAAATAAACAAACAAGCAAAATATAATCAAAGACACTGAAATAGAGAACAGGCTGACAGTGACCAGAGGAAAGAGGGGAGGGAATTTCAGGGCAAAAGGGGAAGAGTTTACAGGAACAAGTATAAAGGACACATGGACAAAAACTAAGGGAGGTGGAAATGGGAGGGAGGTGGGGAGCACTGGACAGGTGGGCTGGGATGGGAGTAAAAGACAGAAAACTGTACTTGAACAACAATTATATAAATTTATTTAATTTTTTTCTGAAATTTTCAGTTGTGCTTTTTCAGATCAATTTTCAATTTCTGGTTATTTGTAGCATGTTAACATTTTGCTCATCCTTTCCCATTCAAGTCTGGGTCACTAGCATAAACAAAAAACATATGAATGCATAATAAGGCTCTGTTTCAGGAAATTTTTAAGCTACATCTTTAAAAAAAAAGCTCTAAAATGTTCATGGACCACCACCCCCTGAGGGTTTTGCCTTTTAGTTTTTGGAAGTCAGTACACTAGATTTTCTAAAATTGCATCATGACTTATTTACATGTGTGTATTCATGACCTTCAGCACGTGAGTGTCTGACATCAAGCTCCCAAGAGCTCTCTCACCCGTGGTTTTTGAATGTAGAAGAGCATCAGGATTGAAAATCTCTTGAGCTACCAGTTTGTTTCCTATTCCAACTCACCAATCACGATGCCGCTCAGCCAGCCAGTTGATG